GAGTTCCCCCGCGCTTCTGAGGCTTTGCTCTGGCAAAGCCTCAGAAGCGCGGGAACCCGCCCGGTGCCCCTGCTCTGCTGGAGACGGTCTCCAGCAGACCAGGGGCACCGGAGCAGCTTACGAACGGGGCTTTCTCGCCCCGGAGCTCGCAGGTAGCAATCCGCCACCTCGACCTCCGGGGCGAGAAAGCCCCGTTCGTAAGTGCGGATCCGACATAAGTCGGATCCGCGTAAGTCGGGGACTGCCTGTATTTCGAAACATCCCTTGACCCTTATGGAATGAGGGTTACAGGGATGCTGGAATAGTGCACCCGTTATTTTGAAAAATATTTCAAAATAATGGGAGCATTTAAAAGAAATAGCCCCGCTGTCTAGACATACCCTTAGTGTTAACTTTAGTAACAGCCCCTCCCGGGAACACAGGCACTCTGGCTCCATTCCCATTGATCATGATACTCAGATATCACAGCCAGCAAGGGAAAATCAACAGCAACAAAAGGAATAATATTTCTGTGATCAAGGTTCTAGACCAAAACTCAGGATCTCAGTTCAGACCTCAGTTCAGTTCTTGATTCTGCTATGGACTTCCTGTGTGACCTTGTTTCAGGCCTGGTCTGTAAAATGGGGGAAATACTTCCTTTCTCCCATCTGTTGTTTTATCTATGTAGAATCTAGTAAGCTCTTCAAGCTATCGACTGACTGTTACTCTCTGTTTGTACAGTGTATAGCACAATGGGACACTTATCTTGGGCTGAGTCCTTAATACAAATAATCATCAGAATCTATCATCTGTACTCACTGGAAAGCCTTCTGCCAGCATCTTGTTCTCTTTTTAAAACTACATGCTGAAGGCTCCAAAATCTGGGTACGACTGAAAATTTCATGAAAATCCTTGACTTGTATCCAAATAAATCATAGAAACTATAATTTACTGGTTTTCCCAGCATTTACTACCTTCATTTACAAGGACATTGCAGTGTTAGTTTTTATTGAAAATGGTTGTGATCACTGCCCTCTGCTACATTTCCCAATCACAGTGTAGAAGGTCAAATATATTCATTACTTGGGAAAGGAAAAAAGGAAGCAAGAATGTATTGGTGTATTCTAGAAGGCTACGTCTAGACTGGCCCCTAATTCCGGAAGAGGCATGCAAAGCAGGTAAGTCAGAATAGGGAAATATTGACTAAACTACATGGCTGTGTCTACATTGACACCCCTTTCCGGAAAAGGGATGCTAATGTAGACTTTGAAATAGGCAAATCCGCGGGTGATTTAAATATCCCCCCCGGCATTTGCATTAACATGGCCGCCGCTTTTTTCCAGCCTGGGGAAAAGCCGGAAAAAAGCGTCTAGACTGGCCCGATCCTCCGGAATAAAGCCCTTTTCCTTTGAAAGTAGGAATAAGAGATCCTCCGGAAAAGGGCTTTATTCCGGAGGATCGGGCCAGTCTAGACGCTTTTTTCCGGCTTTTCCCCAGGCCGGGAAAAAAGCGGCGGACATGTTTATTTAAATCCCCTGCGGATTTCCCTATTCCAAAGTTCTAAATTAGCATGCCTCTTCCGGAGAAGGGGCCAGTGTAGACGTAGCCGAACAGCCTGAAAGGGAAATGACCCAAGAGAATAGAAAAACAAGGATAGCCAGTGCACACCTCCAGAGCTTTAAATACTCTTTCTTTTCAAGACTTTAAAAAATAATATTGAAGTGGATAAAATTAGTAAAAATTTTAATTAGTCAATTATTAATTTATACATTGATACCTTTATCCAAATAGTCCTATTTGGGGCTGAACATTCTTATGCTTATGTAACTGCTATCAGGCAGATTTGAACCTGGGATCTCTAGAACTTAGTCTAGGAGCTTCTACCCTTTGAGCTAAAAACCAGTTGGCTCTCAGACCATCCTATAAAGGTCTTGTGTTCTTACCTGTTGCTGTGGTCTAGGTGCCACTGCATGGGACAGTGAACCACACTAGGGCTATGTCTACACTGCAGAGGTTTTGCGCGAAAACAGCTGTTTTTGCAAAAAAACGTGTGGAGCATTCACACTACAAGCACATTTCTGTGCAAGAAAAAGTACAGTAGATCATCAGAAGACAGGGCTTTTTGCACTAGAGTTATTCCTCTTTCTATGAGGAATAAGCCTTTTTGCACAAGAGCTCTTGCGCAAAAAGGCATGTGTGGACGGACAACAGGGGTTTCTTGCGCAAGGAACCCCTATCGGAAAAAGCACAGGTGCTCTGATGGTCAGAGTTTTCTTGGGCAAGAGCGTCCATGACAGTGTGGACACTCTCTTGCGCAAAAGCACATGGCAATGTGGATGCGCTCTTGCACAAGAACTTTTTGCAGAAGATCTCTTCCGCAAAAAGTTCTTGCGCAAGAAACCTGCAATGTAGATGTAGCCTAGGTGTGTGAGTTACGCTTAATGTCTGTCCAAAGGTGAATTTTTCTTTTGGGTTGATATGAGCAAATTTCCTCATCAGTTTGAGATCAGCAACTGTGAAACAGATCGCTTCCTGTTTTTTAAGAATTGTAAACACAATATTTGACTGTTGTAGAAAAAAATGGATGAAGTCTGAAACACAAGATAGGATCCTCTTGGAGCAATAGTGCCTTTGCTTGCTTTTATTTTTTTTAAAGAAGCTATGTCCAAACTGCAGAGTTTTTGCACAAAAACTTGTGGAGTATTCACACTAGAAGCACATTCTTGTGCAAGAAGTACAGTTAACTGTAAGAACAAAGGGCTTTTTGCATAAGAGTTATTCCTCTTTCTATGAAGAATAAGCCTTTTTGTGCAAGAGCTCTTGCGCAAGAAGGCAGTGTAGACGGGCAACAGGGGTTTCTTGCGCAAGAAACCCCTATGGCTAAAATGGTCATCAGAGCTTTCTTGCACAAGAGAGTGTCCGTAGCAATATGCAAAAGCACACCTCTTGTGCAAAATAGCAATGTGCAAAAGCACACCTCTTGTGCAAAAGCACATACCAGTATGTATGCCCTCTTGAGCAAGAACTTTCTGTGCAAGAACTCTTGCACAAAGAATTCTTGCGCAAGAAGCCTGTAGTGTAGACGTATCTAAGGTGTTGCCTTACGATAGTTGTTACTGTATGATCATGTTCAGGTAAAAAAGTCTACAGGTGCATACAGAGGGTCTGTTTCCTCCTCTGAATTAAGCAAGTAAAAAGTTCACGTTGATGTTAAAGGGACCAGGATTTGTCCCTGAAAAGGGAGACACAGTATGCATCTGTGAATTAGTCAGGTACAAAATTTCCAAAAATGTTTTGTTGATTTAAAATACCCATAACTTTAAACAACAACAGCAACAATTTCCTATTAATACTGCC